GTCGTCGGCGCCGACACTGGCGCGTAAGCTGCCCGCGTGAGGTCGCGCGCGAACGCCCTTGCTTCCAATGCAGCGTGCCGCGCTCGCAGCCCGCGTAGACCGCGTCGTAAGGCTGCTGCGCCACCTCGCGTAAGACCCCTCTCTGATCGTCGCTCGCTTGCTGGTGTCCGCGCGCCCAGCACGGCGATCGCAGCGCACCCCCGCCCCGAGGGGCGTGCCACCGAGGGGCGTGCCGCCGAGGGGCGTGCCGCCGAGGGGCGGGTGGGGGAAGGAACGCGGTGCCCTGCCGCCCCAACCAGCCCTGCACGTGCCCAGGCCTGCGGCGTGCCGTCGCGGCGCGGCCTCGCCTTGCGGGCCGCGCCTCCGCCTGGAGGCACGCGGCGGCGGCGGCCGGCGGCGGCGGTGACCACGACGGCCACCACAGCTGCGAGCACGGCGACGACCAGCGCAGCCGTCAGGGCTCTGAGGCAGCCGGCTGAAGTCGGCACGGCGCCCGCGCGCGTCGCCCCGTTGTCGTCGTCATCGCCGTCGTCGTCGTCGTGCTGGTGCTGGTGGTGGTGGTGGTGGTGATGGTGGTCGTCGTCGTCGCTGCCGCCGCCGCCACCGTCGCTCGGCGGCGGCTCTAACAACAGCGAGGACGATTGCGGCGATCGTGCCCCCGCGGCGACGCCACGCGGCGCGGCGGCCCGACGCCCTGCGCCCCGGTCGGCTTCGTCCACGCGCGCTGCGGCCTCTGGCACGAGGCGCCGCGGCCGCACACTGCCGCAACGAGACGTTGTCGTCGTCGTCGTCGTCATCGTCGTCGTCGTCGTGGTGGTCGTCGTCGTCGTCGTCGTCGTCGTCGCCGCCGCCGTCGCGGTTGTCGTCGCCGCCACCGCCGCCGTAGTCGTCGTCGTCGTCGTCGTCGTCGTCGTCGTCGTCGTCGTCGTCGTCGTCGTCGTCGTCGTCGTCGTCGTCGTCGTCGTCGTCGTCGCCATCGTCGTCGCCGTCGTCGTGGTCGTCGGCGCCGCCGTCGCCCTCGCCGTCGTTGTCGTGGTCGTCGTTGTCGTCGTCGTCGTCGTCGTCGTCGTGGTCGTCGTCGTCGTCGTCGTCGCCGTCGTCGTCGTCGTCGTCATCGTCGTCGTCGTGTCGTCGTCGTTGTCGTCATCGTCGTTGTCGTCGTCGTCTTCGTCGTCGTCGTCGTCGTCGTCGTCGTCGTCGTCGTTGTCGTCGTCGGTCGTTGGCCGTCATCGTCGTCGCCGTCGTCTCCGTCGTCGTCGCCGCCGTCGTCGTGGTGCTGGTGGTGGTCGTCGTCGTCGTTGCCGCCGCCGCCGTAGTCGCCGCGCTGCCGCCGTTGCTCGACGGCTGCTGCTGCGACGACGACGATGTCGACGGCGGCGACCGTGCCCCCGGCGGCGCTGCCATGCGGCGCAGCGGCCCGGCGCCCTGCGCCCTGGTCGGCTTCGTCCACGCGCGCTGCGGCGTCGGGCGCGAGGCTCCGCGGCCGCACACTGCCGCAGCGAGAGGTTGTCGTCGTCGTCGTCGTCGTCGTCGTCGTCGTCGTCGTCGTCGTCGTCATCGTCGCCGTCGTCGGCGCCGTCGTCGTCGTCGTCGTCGCCGTCGTCGTCGTGGTGGTGCTGGTGGTGGTCGTCGTTGTCGTCGTGGTACCGCCGTCGCCGTCGTGGTCGTGGTCGTCGTCGTCGCCACCGCCGTCGCCGCCGCCGTCGTCGTCGGCGTCGTCGTCGTCGTCGTCGTGGTCGTCGTCGTCGTCGTCGTCGTGGTCGTCGTCGTCGTCGTCGTCGTCGTCGTCGTCGTCGAGGTTGTCGTCGTCGTCGTCGTCGTCGTCGTCGTCGTCAACCTCGTGGACGTCGTCGTGAATGTCTTGGGGAGCCATGCTTGCAAAGCATTCCGTACTTTTTGTGACACGGACAGGGAGAGTGCACGCCGCCTTGGCAAGGGCCTAGGGTACTAATCTTCATGGACGTCCTATGAAGAGCAGGGGGCGTGGCCTCAGAGGCTAGAGTGAGGCCCCGTCGGGGCGGGGCCGGAACTTGAAGTGCATTTCTTGCCTTGCTGCATCATTCGGATGTTCACTGACTTCTTGCTGCGGAGCTTACGGCTACAGAGCCTTCTGTGTAGAGGACCCCCTGCTGCAGGAGTACTGGGCCTGCGGCAGTGGTAACAAACATCCAAGCCTCGTCAACGTCGCGGTCGTCATCGTGGTCGACGTCGTGGTCGTGGTCGCGTTTGCGCGGGGGACGCCGAGGAGGGGGCGGCCCCTAGGAAGGGAGGGAGGTGGAGGCCTTGGAGGAGTGGATCCAGACGACTGCTGGCGCTGTGATGATGTCAGGGCCGCAGCTTTTGGCTGTTGTTGCTCCTGGCTGCTGCTCACCATTCGGGTCGATGTCGCCTGGCTAGCCGGCCCGCCGGCCTCAATGGAGGGAAAAACACCTCGATCCCATTTGCCGGCGTTCTCCAGGCAGCCCCGCGCGTTCCCTGAGCAGCCTTGCCCTCCTCGACGCCCTCCTCGGA